AACACACATAGTTGAAGAACATAAATTTATAAAAATCAGTAACTTCAACTATTTATATTGGAATTATAACAAGATAAACTAACTTTAAAAAGTTTAACTTAAATCTGAAGCAACTCCTCTCATTTTGGAATGTCTAAAAACAAAATAGTGCAAAAAAAGTGCAGGTAACAAAAGCAGCTGGTTCGAGAACAAATAGAGCCTCTAAGTGTTTATATGATCATTAATACATTCAGTATTCCATTAAAAGAGGAAAACAAGCAGGACGAGCTACTCTTACGATAGTATGACAAAAGAGAATGAAGAAGCTGCAAAGAAATGCATATAAATCAAAAGAAAATTAAAAATCCCCAACTTCAAGCCAGTGCCTCCAGAGCAGCACACAATAGAACAGTACGAATAACTAAAATAAATATTCACTGTCCTTTTTTCTTTATTTCCTTAAAATTGCTTCAACTACATTAAATGAACAAAGTTCAGATTTTCCTAATAAGCAAGAACATTAATTCATTGTTTCCTAAAGGGATACATTACAATCTCACTTAAAAGAACTTCTATGTAGGCTGGATCCTATCAATTACCTGCAGATTGACTATAGCAATTTTAGAAAAAAGCATATAGCAGCAATCAAGTCAAAACTTCTCTCTCTTTTTTTTTTTTAAGCATGTCCTTCCTGACAACAAATAATTTCATGATTATAAGGGCAGAAGGAACATTTTAAGAAAGGAGTCAGTGTGACCTTCCATTAAAGTTATCACTACATCAAGAATGGATTATTGTTTGGACAACAGATTGACAGAAATCTAGTTAAAAAAAAAAAAAAAGTGCCACCCCAACCACCCACACTCACTTGTCCTGATCTTAAGACCCTTAATCAACTGATGAAGGTGGTGTACCAGTAAAGAAAGCTACTCAGTAGGAGTTCTTGACTCTACACATCTCAGCTGTAATTATCTAGTATTAGAATTTGTCTAAATTCCTAACAAAACTATTAAAGAGAACTATTGGAGGTTTGCTTATATTTCTTCAGCAAGAATCAGTACCTGTCTACTCTTTTGTGACAAGAACGCGTTCCCTACCAAAGTGTCTCAGTGTCGCAGTTACCACTTCTGTGTCTCCACTACATGAAGGTAACTTATCTCAGTGACTTGATGAGGCCATCCCTATGCTCTGGGCAATGTCTCAGGAAGCATCAGCTCTGACTGCACCAAGGTACTGGCACAAAGCACTGAAGAGAGAACACGAGCAGAATTGAGAATTGTGCCTCAGAGGCTACTGAGAACACAGACAAATTTCAATATGTGTATGAGACAAGTGAGTAGCTATGAAGCTGTCCTACTTTTAAGAAGGATGGTTTAAGATATCCACATCTTTCTCTACTTGTTTAAAATGGGTGGATTTTGAGGCATAGTTCCAGTACTAAAAAATTCAGAAGCAATGCACATATCCCCAGCGATGACACAGTACGTTTAACCAGCTAAGCCACAGGGGAAATCTTAAACGTAGAAACACAGCACCAGCCTTTACTTCCTGGGGGTAATAAAACAGTTGCATCAAATTCAAAGCAATGTTAGGTCTGTGGATGTACAGAGTTCCAATCCAGGAGCTAAACCAAGTTAAATCAGTGCACTTAATGATTCCTTCCTTAACCTACTCCAGCTTTCCTTTGTGTCATTTCTGAAAGTCTCTGGAACTGGATCTTTTGTTAAGAAATTGAATAAAATTCTTACAACCAAGTGTTTAGAGTGACAGCAACATGCAGACACCACCAATCTTAACTTTCAAAAAAATAAGTAATCCTATTTATTCAATTGTGTTTTCAGTTGGTGTCAAGCAAGACATATTTTTTTTTTCTTCCTGTAAAGCTTCAGTGAGCAACTATCTGAGAGAAATGCAAAAGCATGAAGGAAACTCCAGAGCTTAAGAGATGCATAGGCTTCCAAATAAGCACCAAAGGTTACAGAAAAAAATAAACTACCACCTTCACCAATGAAAGACTCTGAATCACTAAAACAGCTGAATGACATTCACTGTTCAAAATGCCCATAAATCAGCATTCAAGTTCCTTTTCAGTTAAGGGAGTACTTTAGGTTTAAATTATAATCTACTATTGTAATTTAAAGTCTTTAATATCATACAATCCTCAATGCTCAAGCTGGGAAACAGACTTAGAAGAAGTTTGTTCCTTTTTTCTCTGAAGTGATTTCATTTTTCAACAGAACCAAAATTTAAATCATTGATGTCAAACACACACAATTGAAGAGTTATGAAATCACTTCTTATAAAGCTCCCCAAAACGTGCAGTTCTCTACTAATTTCTCCATAGTATTTAGAAGTTACCGAATAGAGGTATCGTTGGTTGAATTGCTGCATAGCTCCCTGCAGTTGATTACGCTGAGATTGCCACTGCTCAAAGTTCCTGACCGATTCCATCGTTGGCCGCTGCCACGTTGTGGTTCTGGTATTGTGGTCCACATAGTAAACTCTTCCACGATCATCAACTCTTCTTTCCCAGCTATCAAGAAACACAGGTGTCAACAGCTATGTGCTTTTCAGTAACACTACAAAATTGATTTTGTGTTAAATTCCTAGCAGAACTACCATCACGCGCATGCGCTCACAGCCTGATTTTAGTTTTTGAAGTAATCACTGGTCTGCCCAAATTTATGGTACAAAGACAGCCATACTGAGTAAATTAAAGACTGCAGGGAATAGCATGGTTGTTTCTCTCTATATCGCCTCAGTTTTATCTAACTTCCTGTGGCCATTGCTCCTTCTATGAGCAAGGCTGGGAGATTTCACAGAAAACACTTCGCTTAGAAATTCCTGTGGCCATTGCTCCTTCCATGAGCAAGGCTGGGAGATTTTCACAGAAAACACTTCGCTTAGAAATCGTAGCTACATCTCATGGTGTCAGCTACCAAAGGTGATACAATGTGCTTTATTTGTTTCTTCTAATCACTAAGAGTTATTATATATAAATACAAACTTTTTTTTTAATGAAAGTAACTGCAATTAATGTAATTCTAAACTACCTGAAAGTCAGTATTTCTTGATATATGACATTTGAAACAGTTTTTATAAACTGCTACTAAAACTAACACTATACTTTTTCCTGTACCAAATAAATTAAAAAGAAATATATTACTAATAACAGATTTAAATCAAAGGAAGTCTACATTACCCCGGAGGCAAGGGCTGTGGTCTTTCCCACGTTGTAGTTCGCGTGTTGTGATCAACGTAATAGGTTCTACCATGTGGATCCTTTCTTTGCTCCCATCTTTAAAACAAAAAGACTTTTGTATAAGTCAAGATGAATATGCTTTCCCAGGATTGAGCTCTCACTGAGCCAAGAAAGAACTTTGCTATTGAACAGCACTGTTAGTGTCAGTCTAGACTGCTCAACACAACTCACTGGAATACACATCATCTACTTGAACAGGTAGCACCATAAATACTTCTTTAAACAAAATACATAAAATGAGCATACTTAAATTCACAAGCATTTTCAAATTCTATTCAACATATGTGAAAAAAAGCCTTTTACCTGCTCAAGATTTAGATACTGAAAGAATCTCATTCAAAATGAGGCGCCTGGACACTCTTCTCCTTTTGCAAAGCACATATTTTGTGACTCTATGCATACGCTTCTCACAAAAGGGAATTTATATTTTTATCACTATGTCCTACATGCAACAATGGGATCTTTCAGAGTAAACCTGAATGTGTGCTACCACATGATAGTCTTGTGTTTCTATTTCCTGGCCTGGTAAATAATTCCCAGCCTGAAATCCCAGGGAATTATTTCTTTAAACTGATTTGCAAAACTCTTACAATGAAGATGGACAGACGACAAATCATCATAAGTACTACTGGTATCGTGGTGCTGAAGATTGTCGTAACACAACAAATGGTGTTCTTACACGGGAGATGAAACAAGAAGAAATACTAGGTGAATATTAGATTTTACTACAAAATACATTCTACAGTTCAAAAGGTTAAACACCAGTACCACAGGAAGATATAAAGGAACAGCAGTCTGTAATAGACTTTCAGGCAGTAGGGCTAAACATAGCACAGACTGAGCTAGATCAGGGAAGAGGATTACCAGCAGTCAGGGAAAAATGACAACCAAGGTATTTGCCCACAGCCACATATGTGCTATGTCCCTTGTCCTCAATGGGAAAACACACCAAAAAAAAGTGTGTGTGTGTGTGTGTGTGTGTGTGTGTGTGTGTGTGTGTGTGTGTGTGTGTGTGTGTGTGTGTGTGTGTGTGTGTGTGTGTGTGTGTGTGTGTGTGTGTGTGTGTGTGTGTGTGTGTGTGTGTGTGTGCATCTAGGAATTCCCAGTTCCAAAGATTTCCCATTCTCAAAAGTGGTGAAAATAAGAAGTTCTCTATCTCCTCCCCAAGGAATTACATTCAGTACTTGGATTTTTCTGGATTTCTGCCTTTCTGTGTGTTTATCCAACTCCAAAAACTCAAATGCAACGTCACCAATAACTTATTGAACTTGTTTCAGAGGGAGCAGGGGTGCAGGTACATGAGGGTCTCCCTCCACAAGCCCAGCTACACTGGCACACTGTATACACACTGCATAGGAAACAGTTTCTGTGTTCAGAAACTGCTGCTCTGGATACCAGCAGTTAGAATTTCAGAGAAACATCAGGATTTTGAGTTAGTTACTAAAGATACCTTTTCATCCAAATATTAAAGCATCTGCAAAATTAGATCAATATATTTTTAAACACAACATATATATTTTCAGATGATGTCTCAGGACATTTTTACTTTTGTCTTTAACTTTTGGGACAACAGCAGTGTTTTCACATAATAGTTGAATTCTAGTCTTCTAGCTCATCTTAGCAAGCACATACACTTCAAACCTATACTTTCATATATAGCATTATTGCATGCACTGTTGCATTGCAAGTACCTACAAATACTTTTTGGGTATTTTACTTGTTTTCCATTCTCTGTAAGTTGATCTTTACTACATTCTTGCAGATAAAAACCAACAGAACAATGAGTTATAACCCAAATATAAAGAAGCTGGAATACGCCAAACAGCAATCTTCACAGTGAGAATACCAGGGTTGCTCTGTTAAATCACATTCCTGTCTCAGCAAAACACTAATCAATCCTTAGTTTTTCTGACAAGAGCTACTGGCCAGCCAGACTAGCACAGTACAGATTCTACTTTGGATCAAATAGTCACGTCTCAGCCAAACAACCTGCAGCTGGCAATCTGGGCAAGACACTTCTTGCACATTCAGACACACAATTAAATTAGGATATCAAAATCAAACTCACATACCCTGGTGGCAAAGGTTCTGTACTAGCATTGCCAGGCTGCTGTCTAACAGGTTCTGCAGATGTGCTTGAGGAGGATTCCCTTGGTTTCGCTGCATCTGCTGCTGTACTGTTTGCAGAATTAGATGGAGCACAGTCTGTTGTAGTTGCAGCTTCAAGTCCAGCAGACACAACAGGCAATGTAGAAGTGGGCTCTTCGGAGCAAGCAGTGGCTTCTGTTGTTGACTGAGGTTCAGGGTTAGTGCAGTCTGTAGACATGGGAGCTTCTACAGAACTGATCAGAGGCTCAGAGACAGAAGAAATACCAGCTTCTGGTGCAGAGGAGGACGACTCACCATTAACTGAGAAATGCGAAATAAGAATATTTGCATATCAGAATCTAATAATATTTGCTTAAATGACTAATTCAAAGATTGGCAAAGAAAGAAATGTTTAAGCCATACCCATCTGTAATGACATTCTTTAAGATAGTCATAAAGTATCAACTTATTTACAGTTGCAATTAAAACTTATAGCCAGTGAGCCACCAATAAATATGTGATCAACTTGAGGTAACTAAACAGCCTCAAATTCAACCATACTCTCAGAGGATACTTCTTAGTTTCTTGCTGTCTTTTCAGTTCAACATTATATTTTACTTCTTAGTAAAAGAAGTACATTGATTGTGTTCAGCTTTGATTTTGAAACTTCATAACTTTATATCAGCTTAGCATGTAATGAAGGCAAAACATTAAGGAATAACTATCTATCTATCTATATTTTTGAGCTCAGATATAAACTATGTAATTAAAAACAAACAACTATGTGTGACTTGTAAAAAATCCCCCAAACAAAGTTCAACGGGTTCTAGAAATTGAATTTGACTGATGTAACTTACATAGTTCAGTGACTGAAGAAAAGGATTTTAGAATTATAAAGTAAATTAGGTAAATTAACTGGCCTTTCTAGAGACCACATAAATGCTATCTAATTCATAAACTCATTAAAGACTTAAAACAGACATGGATTTAGTGGGAATAGGGACTAAGCCAAGCCCAGTTTTTCCAAACCACCCTGGTTATACATTGGTATCGGTCATCATTAAAGTACTTGCAAGCTGACATGCGTAAGAGTCAGAACTAGTTTTCTACAAGACCAAATATAATATGCAACAAAAACCTCAACTCACTTTCCATCTAGTAGTATGATATTAGGTTATAGTTCTAAGGACTGCAGTTGTTCTATACTAAAATTTACTGCCTATGAAGACACTGTCCCATCATTTTAAAGGAGTTTATTTGAATTCTGCATAGAACTCTCATAAAAACAAACAGCTAAATTCTACTCACTACTTGCCATTCTATGTAATGGCATCAACTGTTTGGTTTCCCAAGGTCAGAAAAACGGATCAAAGAATTTTAAGTTCTAGAACTGCTTTCAGCAGTGCATATTCAAAAGAACGTATTAAAATTATTACAATAGTTTCTATATGGAATGATCATTGGGTTATATGTATTTTCTTTATATGCATAATGTTGAGCACATTTTTATGGGTAGCAGCAGATCTATTAGATATACAAGAAAATTGCTTTTTAAACACAGTTGTTCCAGGACAATACAGTACTATTTCCAGCTCACATTTTGTGGATTATTTCAAGCAAATATAAAAGCATAGCATTAAAAAAAAGAATAAAAAAAAGAGTAAAGAAAAAAAAAGTAAATGCAGACAAGGTACTCAGCTTCTTCACAATCCTGTTTTAATTATGAAAACTTATGTAAATGAGGAAAAAAAGCCAAATGAAGAGAAGTTTCTGCTTTCATTAACAAAAAAACTATTTATCCACAATAAGTGAATGGGATTACACAATAAAAATAGAGTCCAAATAGCAGTGTCAAATCATCAGCTCTTTTAGTAAGCTGATCTCCAAAACAGATCTATAAAACTTTACATCAGCTGATTAACTTACCAATTAGATCTAAAACAGCAATTCTGCCAATGTCACATGAAATTACAACACAGCTAGGCACAACATTGGAAAAAAAATGGGTGTTACCAACAAATGCTGAAGACCTCCTATGCCTTGCCTCAAAAAAACCCCAAAGCCCCACATAAAAATGTACAGCAGTTGAAAACTGTGGTAATGGCAGAATAACACAAACACAGTGAAGAGTCCATCAATATCAGGATTTGAAAAAAACAGTGACTTTTTCAGTTTCCCTGTTTTAGAGTTGAAATGGATCTCAGTGACAAAGGAAAATGAGAGCAAGGCCTAAATATAGTATGTGCCCTTTGGCCTTCAACTGAAAATACAGAGGAATCAAATTCAATTTCTATAAATAGAGAAAAGCCTCAGAAAAGCCTTAATTAAATTATTACCTTTTAAAGTTTATAATTGTTCCTGCCATTCCCACATTTCCCAACCCATTACAGAAAGTGTGACAATCTCCATTTTCTTAACAGCTTGCCTATTTCTGTTTCAGGGTACATCTGTTTTTCTGCTTTCTCTGTAATTCCTCTCAAACAGCTGAGAGCAGACAGAAAGAGCTTTAACACAATCACGAATGAAATGAAAGTTCGGTCAAAGAAACACCAGAAAAAAAGAAAATATTTTCTTTTACTTTGCTATACTGAACAGTAGTTGTAATCATAATTGATACCAACAGTTTGTGCTTAAGAGAAGAGTGAGATTTAATATTTGTCAATATTTGTTTTGGAACTGTGCATCTTTTGAAAAATGAAATGCTTCAAAATGTGTTGAAGACTTTCCTCTCAGAGCACTGTGGTTCCCTGACAGCACTTGAAAGCAACTTTATCTAATGGCAAACTAAATTTAACTGTAGTTAGTCAAATTAACTCTGTGAAAGAAATCTGACTCCAAAGTCCCACAATATTTTATTACATACAATTTTATTTTATTATTTGTGAGGAGAGTACTCTCTCAGGGCACGGAGGAGAATGCCTTTTTTTTTTTTTCTTTTTTTTAAAATGAGACCCCCCAAATTTTTTTTTTGATTTTTCCTCCAGACAATACATAATATTCTTCAGTTATCTGGTACACAGTAATGGATGTTTTGGATGTTTTACATCTTTCTCATCTCAGAGTACTCTTCTCTGATGAAGAAAATAGGAAAAGCTAATGCATTTAGAAATGGAAAAACTCCAGGGAAAAAAAAATCAGAGAAGTGAAAATACAAGATCAGAAGTTCAAGCCCAGAAATATCCTGCCCGTAATTCTGAAATCTAAGCAAAATTTACTGAAAAAGTTCTGCTTCAGATTCTTTCAAGTGGACACAAAAGCCTCATGGAAGACGGTTTCGAAGCTCTCCCATTCTTACCAGTGCTGTTGACAGGTTCAGCTGCAAGTGGTTTTGGTACTGGTGGGTTTTTGGGTCTGGCTGCAAGGTGAGAAGGAGATGGGGCGCTGTCTCCATTAACAGCTTCTATGCAGAATGTGTTGGATACTACAGAGTTGGAAGGTACTTGATTGTCTAGCCCATTAGAAATGTCACCAGCAGATCTTGACAGAAATAAAAAATCATTTTAGGTTACAAACATTGAACAGTAATGCTGCCAAACCAAAACCCACAATAAAATATTCTAGAGAATCAATACAGACACTGAAGTAAATTCACAGCGGTTTATAATACCGTCTTTGGAGATCTAGATAACAGCCAAGTACAAGACTTGCTAAAGGCAAATTTAAGTATCTCAAAACTTCCAAAACAAAAACTGATGATTTTCCATTTTCAGATCATTCTTTACTTGTAATGACATATTAAAATTGAATTGAGCAGACTGATTAATCTGCCACATTCCCAAACTGCCCTGGTGACCCTTCCAAAACAGCAGCTGTCAGCAGGACAACTTCTTCTCTTGTTAAGCACATGGAACAATTGTTTCTGTCATATCTGCAAAAATTATTCTAGTAATAACTTAAGGGAGTAAAAAAAAAAAAAAAATCTCCTGCAGTAACACAAGGAAAATACAAGGAACTTCTCTTCTCTAAGCACAGGCAGGATGTGACGAGGTGTACAGATGTACATGGGCAGCTCTGTGTTTAAAAGGCCACACGGAAACAGGAGGGCCTGTGAGTGCTCAGTCCTGCTCAGTTTTACTCTTTTTACTCATACCTATCACAAAATGCTTAAAGCCACCCATGAGACAATCACATATCGTAAAACTTAAGTTTGATGCCAACTTCCCTATCATTTTGAAGAGCAATGGCTAAAAAGTAAAATGTATTTAGGCAGAAGTTAAACAGATGTCAAAAGAACAGAATGATCACAATTCCACTTTTCAGAGAGGGAAGGGGAAAAAAAAACAAAAACAGCATTTCCATGCTACTCTACACGCCTCCAAAGAAGTAGTATTAACGAAATTAAATTATTATCTCTTCAATTTTACCCTACAAACCTGATTTCTTCCTAAAGACATGCACAGAAACTACCTCAAAACTTTTCTTCATCTGTTTGATTTTAAAACTGTAAAGCAAAACTGCTCAATAGTTACATGGAAGATCCATAATCACAACAGTAACATCAAGAGTGGGATCCCAAAAAAGCCACCCCCGAAGAAACAACAGTTGAATGGAAACAAATGATTCCTGCCCATGTTTCAAAAAGGTAATGCAGATTCATTTGAGACTTTTTGAAATGATCGTGAGCACAGGTAAAGCTTTCTAAAGAAAACTGGGGAGAAATAGCTTTTTATCCTCGTTCCCTAACATTTGTGCATGCATGGTATTACGGGGACCAACCTCAGTATACTCAAGGAAAGGAGGAAGCAGAGGGCACAAGGACAAACGTGGCCTTGTCACTCAAACATATAGCACCTGTGTCCTATGTCACTGCATCCCACGCCAAGCACTTAAGAGGGAAGGAGATCAGAGAAGTAACCAAATGGGCCAGTAATGTCAAATTGACCTAAATGTTATCTACTTGACTTCTTTACTGGTGGTAAGGGGACAAACCATCTATCCCTACTCCTCTCCAGGCACTCTCCGTGCTGGAGCAGAGAGCCAAGAAATAAAGTCTAAATCAACCTCAAGGCCTTTTCTTGCCACTGAAGGTTGAAGCAGGGAAACTCTGCACCTCCATGCTCAGCAAACTGTTTCCTAAAGCCAGTGCAAGTCTGTTCAACAACTTCCTGATTGACACTTTAAAAAGGAAATGGCCAAGAAGTTATTTTTGCTCTTTCTTCTTCCTTATGTTCAGATGGTAGGTTGCTAGATGTTGGTAGAAGTACATAGAAACAGCTCTTAAACAGCAGAGGAAAACAAGTGGAAAACTCATCTCTACTGCAGCACTTAAATTTCTAATCAGACGTATTTTTTACATTCAGAGGCTTCATATCCAATAGGCAATCAAACTACTGGAGAACAAACTAACAGGAGAGGACAAGGACAGAGTTATAAATATAATTATTGTGTCCAGCTAATTTATGTAATTATTATACAGGCAATATTTCCTAAGATATTTGGGCTGAGAGTCACAAAATATATCCCCTTCACACACACACACACACATGCACACACACAAAGCAATTAGTCAACTTAATTGACACAGCTGCTAGTTGCTAATACATTTTATATAGTCTAGAATATAAAAAAATATATTCCAACCTGGAAGTACTTCTCGCCAAAGCATCTCTGTTTTCATGCACAGCCTCACCATTCTGCTGAACTTCTACTGAACAGGAAGAAACAAATTCAACAGCAATAATCTACTATATCTGTTTAAAGTTTTAATCAAAACACTAAAAATTTATTCTTTTTAATTTGACTTACTGGTTGCCGGTGAACTGAGATTTGTAAGAGATTCTTGTTCAACAACCAAACCATCTAGCACAACTGTCAGTTCACCTGTTTGCACCATGCCACTCTTGTTTTCCAGAGAGAGTTTCAACTGCTCTTTCACCTTCTCCACTGAAAATGCAATTGGAGAGGGCATGGGAGAGAAGGAGAGAAGGAATAAATTAAAGATTAAATTCTAAGAAACACTGAAAAAAGAAACATTTCAACACAAAAATATGATACATGCTGATTTAGTTGTATTAGGCTGAGCATGAGATGCTCAGATGATTCAAATCAACACAGCAATCATTAAGGAGCTATATGTAAGAGCAGCGTTTATTATAAAAATAAATTGTCCATTTTCATAGTATATTCTATATGCACACATAGGAGCCATACAGTTTCAGCATTGCCATAGATTTTCCAAGTTAGTTGTTTCTAAGCCCTTTTGAAATCATGTCCTACTTGCATAGCACCAGGAGACTTAAAGTCAAACAACTTGAGGATTACACATCCTAATATCGTGCTTTATACGTCACAGTAAGCCTTATACTAACACCAGAGCTTGTGTTCATTCCTTGTATCACTTTACAAAACTAAGAGACAACTAGAAAGAACATCCATCTGTGCAAGAAGTAAATACAAAGACTGCATAGAAAACTTACTATTGTTTGGGAGTTTTTTGGTTTTTTTGAGAGGAGGGTAAATAATTTTAGTAAATCCTAAAGCATTTTTATAAATTCCAGCTCAGATGATTAATAGAGAGGATATCTCAAATAACCAAAACCAGAAACTACTATCCCCAAAACAAATAGGGAGTTTTGAGATATTATAGCACCTACAAAAAAAAGTGCATATGGTCCAATAAAATAACTCTACATGACCAATAAAGAGTACACAAATATGCAGACAGACATATGCAACCCAGAACTTAGCATGCTGTGGATGTTACATAACCCTCTCCCAGAGAACAGTTACAGGCACTTAAACCTACATCTCAGAAATCCGGTCACAGCAAGCTCTGGGGTCACGTTACTCAGCTGAAAGTGGTTAAGGCCTTTTAGTACTTGCAGTCTAATTTGATTTTTCATGTTTGTATTTTTCTCCACATGATAGTATTGCAAGCTAAAGTTAAAACTCACTGTACATTTTCTAACTTTTTCAGTCTTATCTAGCATCCTAAATGACAAATAAACACAAGAACAGGGAATGCTCCCATGAGCTATTGCCAAGATGTTAAGGTCAATAACTCGAACCTTTAACCTTTAAAAGCAGGCTCACTAGTGGATCAGTACTTACTAGCAATACTTAGTTTACCTCCTGCTAAATTAGGATGGATTTCACAGTACCATAAATCAAGAGAGCAAACACCAAGTTGCCCAAAATACACATATGAAAGTTATCTTCAATAAAGTTATTGATGCAGTGCAGTTTACAGAACTGCATTCTAAGCAATTATACTACCCAAATTAAGAGACAGAAAGAATTAGTCTGCAATACAGTTTTTAAATTGCAATATACAAACTGCAACATATTTACATAATTAATTCTACAAAGGATGATTGGTCTACCACTTATTATTTTAAAAGGTTCCCTCCCTAAAGAAGATTAAAGATACCCATACTACAACTGAGGTGGTAGAAAACTTACTACAGCTGTAAACAGCAATTCATTAGTGATGCTAGTTAGTGAAGAAAATGAACACCACTAATTCTAAGGTTTCTACATTTAGAGGATTTTACACTTTCGTCAACAAAGACACTTCCAAGTGCTGCACATGAGCTTAGACATCAGTAACTGAACCAATGACGACTGCAGATCTCACTGTTCTATCACTGAGCCACTGAAAAATCCCACGTATGCCAAGCTGGGCACTTGCCTGAGCACAAGTCACCTTAGTGAAATCTGTAGCCAACTTGGTCAACCGTCCCCTGAAAGAATTTGTCAAGGTGTTGGATCCTAAACCTCCAGATTTACAGTTAAAAAGTACAAACTGTTACATTACAATGGTATTATCATTACATTATTTATTCTAATATAGTTAGAGGATAAAATTTCAGTGTTGCAAAACATAGAGAAAGTGTGATTACTTTCATATTTTGTATTTTTAACAGTCAAAAAGTCTCATTTCCCCCACTGCTCTAAGTACAGCTCTTTGTTTCATACGGTATCGAGCTTGCAAGAAAGGTCAGAGAATGGTTTAGCTGGAATTGTAGTGCCACTCTGAAGTGGAATTTAAAGTGTGGATTCACCATCTTATTGTATTAATGAAAAAATAGAAAAGCAAAATTAGATAAGGAAAATCTGTTTTAATTCTACTAAAGAGAATTAAAATTAGAAGGTACATAGGACACAGTAATCCCTGATGCACTGAAGGAAGTTTTCAGTTGTTTCATTCTTTAGTGGGTCCTACTGCTCTCTGGCAGCTAAATTATAAGGGGACAATATCCAGCCTTCCTGCTACTGATTCCACAGAAGGAAAACGTGAAGAAAGATGCAGACACCTTTTCAGAAAGTTTAGACTTTCTTTTTATTAAGTCTAAAACAGATCCTTTGGCAAACAGGAAATTAGTATGTTGTAGAGCATATATTTAATCACTTAATTTGATTTAATATGCAGTAATGCATACTCTAGCATTTGTTTCAATATTGTTATATTCCATTGTTGCATTTAAATTGCTCTGTACAGCACAATTAGACATGTCCAGAAGAGAAAATTAAAGACAGCAACTGAAAGTCAGTTGTAATAGCATGTGAAGTTAGTAGTCTGGTTGCCAGTTTTGACATACAGATTAGTAATAATAGTTTTACTTTACTCAACATATCCTTCATGATAACTTACATTTTCTATTGTGTATTTCCAAAGCTTGTCTCAAGTCTACAGTGGCTCTTCCTAATAAAGCATCTGCTTTTAAAGTGTGATGGCTCCACACTCTAAATTCCAGCGTAGTCTGTGGAGTCACATTCCTGCATATAAAATACATTTTTAAAAAAATATATACAGATTTTAAAGTATTCATTTTTGTTATTAGGAATATTGGATTTCATTTCACTTCCTCATTTGTTCTATTTCTTGATACTAATTTACTGAAAAATGTTTTTGCACTGCAAGGGGGATTTTTATTTTTAAACTGTAGACTGTAAACACTGTCACATTTATACTTCTTCTCAAAAATCAAAACTTGAATTGCCTTACTAAAATATTATAAAGAATCTTGGGAACACCAAAATAACCTACACTAAATGCTAATCTCAGTTATACAACACATTGTTTTGTCAAAAAAAAATCCCTATTCCTCCCTAATTCAAAATCCTACTTAAAACTTGCATTATTCAGAAGGGTTAAAAAAAAAAAGCAGCAAGTATATTCTTGCTTTTCCCCCTTGTCACTACAAAACAAAATACTAAATATTTACCCTCCCCTTTCAACAAAAAAGAAAAAAAAAAGAAAAAGAAAAAAAAGGAAAAAGAAAAACACACATACCACCAATCAGCTGCCTGCATGTAGGAGACACCTACTCACCAGGTGTTCATCATGAAAGTATGGATAAAACATTATTTGTGATTCAACAAATACATATAAAACCTTAACACACTCTCACAGAAATCATAGGGAAAAGCAAATATATTCATACATATACCTATACATCAAATGATAAACTAATGTAAACACTGGAGGGGAGCAGCAAGGTAATGGAATCAATAACAGTAATGAGGTGGTAACTTTTAGCAGTGAT